GAGGTTGAAGAGGAGGAGCGAGAACAATGGTCTCACCCCATCGAGTTCCTTCTCTCGTGCATCGCTATGTCAGTGGGTCTGGGAAACGTGTGGCGCTTCCCCATGACTGCCTACGAGAACGGTGGTGGCGCCTTCCTTATCCCATACTTAATTGTTCTTACCTTCATCGGCAGGGTGAGTTACCTCAGGCTGTGTCAGGGTGTGCAGGGTGCAGGCAGGAGGGGTGAGTGCTTATAGGTAGTGTACAGTGTAGGGAGTAGTAGTGCGTGGCCTTAAGCAGTGTACAGTGTAGGGAGGGGTGCGTGGCCTCAAGCAGTGTACAGTGTAGGTACGAATGCGTGGCCTCAAGCAGTGTACAGTGTAGGGAGTAGTAGAGTGTTGCCTCAAGTAGTGTACAGCGTAGGGAGGAGTGCGTGGCCTCAAGCACTGTACAGTGTAGGGAGTAGTAGTGTACAGTGTAGGGAGTAAAAGTGTGTGGCCTCAAGTAGTGTACAATGCAGGGAGTAGTAGTGAGTTGCCTCAAGTAGTGTACAGCGTATGGGGGAGTGCGTGGCCTCAAGCAGTGTACAGTGTAGGGAGTAGTAGTGTACGGTGTAGGGAGTAAAAGTGTGTGGCCTCAAATAGTGTACAGTGTAGGGAGCAGTAGTGTGTGGCCTCAAGTAGTGTACAGTGTAGGGAGCAGTAGTGTGTGGCCTCAAATAGTGTACAGTGTAGGGAGCAGTAGTGTGTGGCCTCAAGTAGTGTACAGTGTAGGGAAGAGTGCGTAGCCTCAAGCAGTGTACAGTATAGGGAGTAGTAGTAGTGTGTGGCCTCAAGTAGTGTACAGTGTAGGGAGTAGTAGTGTGTGGCCTCAAGTAGTGTACAGTGTAGGGAGTAGTAGTGTGTGGCCTCAAGTAGTTTTACAGTGTAGGGAGTAGTAGTGTGTGGCCTCAAGTAGTGTACAGTGTAGGGAGCAGTAGTGTGTGGCCTCAAGTAGTGTACAGTGTAGGGAGCAGTAGTGTGTGGCCTCAAGTAGTGTACAGTGTAGGGAGTAGTAGTGTGTGGCCTCAAGTAGTGTACAGTGTAGGGAGTAGTAGTGTGTGGCCTCAAGTAGTGTACAGTGTAGGGTGCAGTAGTGTGTGGCCTCAAGTAGTGTACAGTGTAGGGAGCAGTAGTGTGTGGCCTCAAGTAGTGTACAGTGTAGGGAGTAAAAGTGTATGGCCTCAAGTAGTGTACAGTGTAGGGAGTAGTAGTGTGTAGCCTCAAGTAGTGTACAGTGTAGGGAGTAGTAGTGTGTGGCCTCAAGTAGTGTACAGTGTAGGGAGTAGTAGTGTGTGGCCTCAAGTAGTGTACAGTGTAGGGAGTAGTAGTGTGTGGCCTCAAGTAGTGTACAGTGTAGGGAGTAAAAGTGTATGGCCTCAAGTAGTGTACAGTGTAGGGAGTAGTAGTGTATGGCCTCAAGTAGTGTACAGTGTACGGAGTAGTAGTGTGTGGCCTCAAGTAGTGTACAGTGTACGGAGTAGTAGTGTGTGGCCTCAAGTAGTGTACAGTGTAGGGAGTAGTGCGTGTGGTCTCAGGTAATGTACAGTTTAGGGAGTAGAAGTGTGTGGCCTCAAGTAGTGTACAGTGTAGGAGGGAGTGCGTGGCCTCAAGTAGTGCGCAGTGTAGGGAGTAGTAGTGTGTGGCCTCAAGTAGTGTACAGTGTAGGGAGTAGTAGTGTGTGGCCTCAAGTAGTGTACAGTGTAGGAGGGAGTGCGTGGCCTCAAGTAGTGCACAGTGTAGGGAGGAGTGCGTGGCCTCAAGCAGTGTAGTGTAGAGAAGAGTGCGTGGTCTCAGGCAGTGAACAGTGTAGGGAGGAGTGCGTGGTCTCAGGCAGTGTACAGTGCAGGGAGGAGTGCGTGGTCTCAGGCAGTGTACGGTGTAGGGAGGAGTGCGTGGTCTTAGGCAATATACAGTGTAGGGATGAGTGCGTGGTCTCAAGCAGTGTACAGTGTACGGAGGAGTGCGTGGTCTCAAGCAGTGTACAGTGTAGGGAGGAGTGCGTGTTCTCAAGCAGTGTACAGTGTAGGGAGGAGTGCGTGGTCTCAGGCAGTGTACAGTGTAGGGAGGAGTGCGTGGTCTCAAGCAGTGCACAGTGTAGGGAGGAGTGCGTGGTCTCAGGCAGTGTACAGTGTAGGGAGGAGTGCGTGGTCTCAAGCAGTGAGTGTAGGGAGGAGTGCGTGGTCTCAAGCAGTACACAGTGTAGGGAGGAGTGCGTGGTCTCAAGCAGTGTACAGTGTAGGGAGGAGTGCGTGGTCTCAGGCAGTGTACAGTGTAGGGATGAGTGCGTGGTCTCAGGCAGTGTACAGTGTAGGGAGGAGTGCGTGGTCTCAGGCAGAGTACAGTGTAGGGAGGAGTGCGTGGTCTCAGGCAGTGTACAGTGTAGGGAGGAGTGCGTGGTCTCAGGCAGTGTACAGTGTAGGGAGGAGTGCGTGGTCTCAGGCAGTGTACAGTGTAGGGAGGAGTGCGTGGTCTCAAGCAGTGCACAGTGTAGGGAGGAGTGCGTGGTCTCAGGCAGTGTACAGTGTAGGGAGGAGTGTGTGGTCTCAGGCAGTGTACAGTGTAGGTAGGAGTGTGTTGTCTCAGGCAGTGTACAGTGTAGGGTAGAGTGTGTGGTCTCAGGCAGTGTACAGTGTAGGGAGGAGTGTGTGGTCTAAGGCAGTGTACAGTGTAGGGAGGTGTGGTCTCAGGCAGTGCACAGTGTAGGGAGGAGTGTGTGGTCTCAGGCAGTGCACAGTGTAGGGAGGAGTGTGTGGTCTTAGGCAGTGTACAGTGTAGGGAGGAGTGTGTGGTCTCAGGCAGTGTACAGTGTAGGGAGGAGTGTGTGGTCTCAGGCAGTGTACAGTGTACGGAGGAGAGTGTGGTCTCAGGCAGTGTACAGTGTAGGGAGGAGTGTGTGGTCTCAGGCAGTGTACAGAGTAGGGAGAAGTGTGTGGTCTCAGGCAGTGTACAGTGTAGGGAGGAGTGCGTGGTCTCAGGCAGTGTACAGTGTAGGGAGGAGTGCGTGGTCTCAGGCAGTGTACAGTGTAGGGAGGAGTGCGTGGTCTCAGGCAGTGTACAGTGTAGGGAGGAGTGCGTGGTCTCAGGCAGTGTACAGTGTAGGGAGGAGTGCGTGGTCTCAGGCAGTGTACAGTGTAGGGAGGAGTGCGTGGTCTCAGGCAGTGTACAGTGTAGGGAGGAGTGCGTGGTCTCAGGCAGTGTTCAGTGTAGGGAGGAGTGAGTGGTCTCAGGCAGTGTACAGTGTAGGGAGGAGTGCGTGGTCTGAGGCAGTGTACAGTGTAGGGAGGAGTGCGTGGTCTGAGGCAGTGTACAGTGTAGGGAGGAGTGCGTGGTCTGAGGCAGTGTACAGTGTAGGGAGGAGTGCGTGGTCTCAGGCAGTGTACAGTGCAGGGAGGAGTGCGTGGTCTCAGGCAGTGTACAGTGTAGAGAGTGCGTGGTCTCAGGCAGTGTACAGTGTAGGGAGGAGTGCGTGGTCTCAGGCAGTGTACAGTGTAGGGAGGAGTGCGTGGTCAGGCAGTGTATAGTGTAGGGAGGAGTGCGTGGTCTCAGGCAGTGTACAGTGTAGGGAGGAGTGCGTGCTCTCAGGCAGTGCACAGTGTAGGAAGGCGTGCGTATTCTCAGGCAGTGTACAGTGTAGGGAGGAGTGCGTGGTCTTAGGCAGTGTACAGTGTAGGGAGGAGTGCGTGGTCTCAGGCAGTGTACAGTGTAGGGAGGAGTGCGTGGTCTCAGGCAGTGTACAGTGTAGGGAGGAGGGGCGGGGTCTCAGGCAGTGTACAGTGTAGGGAGGAGTGCGTGGTCTCAGGCAGTGTACAGTGTAGGGAGGAGTGCGTGGTCTCAGGCAGTGCACAGTGTAGGGAGGAGTGCGTGGTCTCAGGCAGTGTACAGTGTAGGGAGGAGTGCGTGGTCTCAGGCAGTGTACAGTGTAGGGAGGAGTGCGTGGTCTCAGGCAGTGCACAGTGAAGGGAGGAGTGCGTGGTCTCAGGCAGTGCACAGTGTAGGGAGGAGTGCGTGGTCTTAGGCAGTTTTAACAGTGTAGGGAGAAGTGTGTGGTCTCAGGCAGTGTACAGTGTAGGGAGGAGTGCGTGGTCTCAGGCAGTGTACAGTGTAGGGAGGAGTGTGGGGTTTCTCAGGCAGTGTACAGTGTAGGGGGAGTGCGTGGTCTCAGGCAGTGTACAGTGTAGGGAGGAGTGCGTGGTCTCAGGCAGTGTACAGTGTAGGGAGGAGTGCGTGGTCTCAGGCAGTGTACAGTGTAGGGAGGAGTGCGTGGTCTCAGGCAGTGTACAGTGTAGGGAGGAGTGCGTGGTCTCAGGCAGTGTACAGTGTAGGGAGGAGTGCGTGGTCTCAGGCAGTGTACAGTGTAGGGAGGAGTGCGTGGTCTCAGGCAGTGCACAGTGTAGGGGGGAAAGTGCGTGGTCTCAGGCAGTGTAACAGTGTAGGGAGGGGTGCGTGGTCTCAGGCAGTGTACTGTGTAGGGAGGAGTGCGTGGTCTCAGGCAGTGCACAGTGAAGGGAGGAGTGCGTGGTCTCAGGCAGTGCACAGTGTAGGGAGGAAGGCGTGGTCTTAGGCAGTGTACAGTGTATGGAGAAGTGCGTGGTCTCAGGCGGTGCACACTGTAGGGAGGAGTGCGTGGTCTCAGGCAGTGTACAGTGTAGGGAGGAGTGCGTGGTCTCAGGCAGTGTACAGTGTAGGGAGGAGTGCGTGGTCTCAGGCAGTGCACAGTGTATGGAGAAGTGCGTGGTCTCAGGCAGTGCACACTGTAGGGAGGAGTGCGTGGTCTCAGGCAGTGTACAGTGTAGGGAGGAGTGCGTGGTCTCAGGCAGTGCACAGTGTATGGAGAAGTGCGTGGTCTCAGGCAGTGCACACTGTAGGGAGGAGTGCGTGGTCTCAGGCAGTGTACAGTGCAGAGAGGAGTGCGTGGTCTCAGGCAGTGTACAGTGTAGGGAGGAGTGCGTGGTCTTAGGCAATGTACAGTGTAGGGAGGAGTGCGTGGTCTCAAGCAGTGTACAGTGTAGGGAGGAGTGTGTGTTCTCAAGCAGTGTACAGTGTAGGGAGGAGTGCGTGGTCTCAAGCAGTGCACAGTGTAGGGAGGAGTGCGTGGTCTCAAGCAGTGTACAGTGTAGGGAGGAGTGCGTGGTCTCAGGCAGTGTACAGTGTAGGGAGGAGTGCGTGGTCTCAGGCAGTGTACAGTGTAGGGAGGAGTGCGTGGTCTCAGGCAGTGTACAGTGTAGGGAGGAGTGCGTGGTCTCAAGCAGTGCACATTGTAGGGAGGAGTGCGTGGTCTCAGGCAGTGTACAGTGTAGGGAGGAGTGTGTGGTCTCAGGCAGTGTACAGTGTAGGTAGGAGTGTGTTGTCTCAGGCAGTGTACAGTGTAGGGTAGAGTGTGTGGTCTCAGGCAGTGTACAGTGTAGGGAGGAGTGTGTGGTCTCAGGAAGTGTACAGTGTAGGGAGGTGTGGTCTCAGGCAGTGCACAGTGTAGGGAGGAGTGTGTGGTCTCAGGCAGTGCACAGTGTAGGGAGGAGTGTGTGGTCTTAGGCAGTGTACAGTGTAGGGAGGAGTGTGTGGTCTCAGGCAGTGTACAGTGTAGGGAGGAGTGTGTGGTCTCAGGCAGTGTACAGTGTAGGGAGGTGTGGTCTCAGGCAGTGTACAGTGTAGGGAGGAGTGTGTGGTCTCAGGCAGTGTACAGTGTAGGGAGGAGTGTGTGGTCTCAGGCAGTGTACAGTGTAGGGAGGTGTGGTCTCAGGCAGTGTACAGTGTAGGGAGGAGTGCGTGGTCTCAGGCAGTGTAAGGTGAATGATGTATAAGAAACTAAATGCATATATAAAGAAATAGGTGTTAGGGTGTACAAATGTCAGTATATATACAGAAAAAACAAAAAGGCACAATTCCTTGACTTTGTAAATGGTTCAAATCGGACCGAAAAGTCGTCTTAAGCTCCTCTCTCTATGTGCTGGGTTATTTGTGTACTGTATATACATGTGTATACACTCGGGGTTACACGACAAAACTAACCAAAATATTTTGTACCCAGAGAGAGAGAGAGATCCTGGCTCACAACCAAAATGACCCGGGCTCAATCCTGGGGATTGGTGTGACATGCGCACTAAGCTCCTAACACCCGTGACCCATGTTACCTCACAGAAAATAGATACCTGAGAGTTGTTAAGAGTGTTGTGTCTCATCCTGGAGGACACTCGACCTTGCTGACGGAAATAACTCACACTACTTGTTGTATCGGTAATAAATAATAATACAAATATATACTTCAACTTTTTCTTCTTGTTAGCGCTGCTGTTTTTTCTTCCTCTTTTCTTCCATTCTCCCTTCTTCTTCCTCCTGCTCCTCCTCCTCCACTACAACACAGTGTCTCCCACAGCCACTGTACTTCATGGAGTTAGCACTGGGTCAGTTCTCGTCCTACGGCAGTGTCAAGGTGTGGAAGGTCGTGCCGGCAGTCAAAGGTAAGCAAGTACTCGCCCTCACTCACGTTTCGCTCACCGGGAGCGTTAATTAACAGGTGTTCGCGGAGAGCTAAAAGTAGCCGTAACAAATGTTCAGTTATTTGCTCTTGTACCTGTTCAGTAGATGTTCAACAGATGTTCAGTAGATGTTCAAGAGATGTTCGGCAGATGCTTAACAGATGTTCAGTAGATGTCCAACAGATGTTCAGTAGATGTTCAACAGATGTTCAGTAGATGTTTAACAGATGTTCAGCAGATGTTCAACAGATGTTCAGCAGACGTTCAACAGTCATTGCGACTGTTAGGACGAGAACAAGTGCAATTTGCAGTTTTGTGTTGGTAAGTTTGAAGTCTGTCGACCTAACGAGGGATCATTAAGGCTGTAGTAAGATACCTTAGTGTATATATACCCTTGGTAGGTGGTACAGTGTATATACCCTTGCTAGAAGGTACAATGTATATACCCTTGCTAAGAGATACCTTACAATGTATATACCCTTGCTAGGGGATACAATGTATATACCCTTGCTAGGAGATACCTTACAATGTATATACCCTTGCTAGGAGATACCTTACAATGTATATACCCTTGCTAGGAGATACAATGTATATACCCTTGCTAAGAGATACCTTACAATGTATATACCCTTGCTAGGGATACAATGTATATACCCTTGCTAAGAGATACCTTACAATGTATATACCCTTGCTAGGAGATACCTTGCAATGTATATACCCTTGCTAGGAGATACAATGTATATGCCCTTGCTAGGAGATACCTTACAATGTATATACCTTTGCTTGGAGATACCTTACAATGTATATACCCTTGCTAGGAGATACAATGTATATACCTTTGCTAGGAGATACAGTTCGGTGTACATACTCAAGCTAGGAGATACCTTACTGTATATATGCACTAGCTAGGATATACCTTAAGATATATATGCACTATGAGAAACAAACACCCATGTACGTATATACTCTGAGATACTCCTCAGTATACTTAGGATATATACACTTCTCTGTTTATACAGTACGAAATATTCCACCTCCATGTGAAGTCGGAGGCGTTGAAGTTAGGGGGCGGCTCACCATTATTATTATTATTATTATTATTATTATTATTATTAATAATAATAATAATATTATTTCTACCTCCAACTTTTTTATTTCCCTCGTAACTCTAGAATGCCTCGTCCAGTCGGAGAAGAGTTCAGCTCCATGGAGATGAACTCTCTTCTCCAGGCTGAGGGACTGACCTCCTCAAATACTTCTTCTCCAAGGCTGATGGACTGATTACATCATCTTTATTTCATTTCTACTTCTTTCTCTGTATTTGACTGAAGAAGCCTGCTGTGTAGGCTAGTGATGTTTGTTGGGGGGGGGGGAAGGCAGGCAGATGAATAAATGTAACAATGGCCATAATTCATGTCCTAACAGGAACCATAACAACAATATTCTCTGCAGTTCTAGTTATACCCGCCTACCACTAACATCATCCAGGCCCTGGACAGCTAGTTTTCCTTGAATCCCTGCATTGATGTTACTTTGTTGACATTCCAACAGCACGTGAAGCATCAAAACCAACTGACGTCACTCCCAACAATCTTACAAAAGCCTGCTGGATGTTCAAGCCCCTAGCACTCAAAACTTCCTGTACCTCCTCCCTCCAACCCTTACCAGATTTAAATACACTAGATTTATGTGCCGTCTTAGTAATCCTATTATTATTATTATTATTACTAATTATTATTAATTATTATTATTATTATTATTAATTATTATTATTATTATTATTATTATTATTATTATTATTATTATTATTATTATTAATTGTTGTTGTTGTTATAGTGGTATCAGTAGTACTTACAGTTGTTGCTGTTGTTCTTGTACTAGTAGTCGTGGTAGTATCAGATAATAGCGCTAATTCCGTATGGGTCAAGCAGCCCTGATGTGTCTTCCCAACTGCAAGGTTAGTTGCATGTTGTACCTACACCATGATAGACAGACAAATACAGTTAGTTAAATGCAACCTTTATTAACGACGAGGTTTCGCCCACGTGGTCGTCGACAGTGTCACTTAAGACCTAACACTCCCGAACACCCTTATTATATGCTCACAAACACACGCGCGCGCGCGACATATAAAATACTGAGAGGAATTGACAAGGTGGACAGAGACAGGATGTTCCAGAGATGGGACACCGCAACAAGGGGACACAGTTGGAAGTTGAAGACACAGATGAATCACATGGATGTTAGGAAGTATTTCTTCAGTCAAGGAGTTATCAGGAATTGGAATAGTTTGGGAAGCGATGTAGTGGAGGCAGGATCCATACATAGCTTTAAGAAGAGGTATGATAAAGCTCATGGAGCGGTAAGAGTGACTTAGTAGCGAACAGTGAAGAGGCAGGGCCAGGAACTGTGATTCGACCCCTGCAACCACAACTAGGTGAGTACACACATACAGGTTAAGGAAAATCGACCTGACGATAACGGAGGACAGGGATAATGACATAGAAAATACTGCGAGGAATTGACAAGGTGGACAAGGACAGGATGTTCCAGAGGTAGGACACAGAAACAAGGGGTCACAGTTGGAAGTTGAAGATTCAGATGAGTCAGAGGGATGTTAGGAAGTATTTCTTTAGCCATGGAGATGTCAGGAAGTGGAATAGTCTGGAAAGTGATGTAGTAGAGGCAGGATCCATACATAGTTTTAAGATGAGGTATGATGAAGTTCATGGAGCAGGAAGAAAGAGAGCCTAGTAGCGACCAGTGAAGAGATGGGGCCAGGAGCTATGAATCGATCCCTGCAACCACAATTAGATGAGTACACACACATTATGGTCCGCCATCTACACACTCATTACGATTGTGACCGGATAAAAAATTGTAAATACGTAGTTCATTGCCACTGTAACTTGTTCACTTATCAAAACATTGGGGTCCAGTCCCTGGACCCATTGTGTACCTCTGTAATCTTTTGACTACCACCCACATAGTGGGTATGAGGTGTATATAAATATATTAAACAACAACTTCTATACCCACATTAACCTGGTTTAGTCTCTACCCATTGTCCACTAATTTAAATATAAATAAACTTGGGGTGGAAATGAATACATAATAATTAACGTTGATTTTATTTCACAGTGTCTCACCAAACCACACAATACACAAAAAGAGCATAAGAATGGAGGAGCACTGCAGCAGACCTACTGGCCCTGTATACTACGGTATACTACCATCCCCAGCATGCGAACCACAACAGTCGACTAACGCCTAGGTACCTGTTTATTGCTAGGTGAACAGGTGCAGCAGGTGTAAGGAAACATACCCAACGTTTCCACCAGTACTGGTAATCGAACCACGAGCACTCAGTATGCGAGTAGAGTACGCTACCAACCGAACCACGGGACTTTCTCAAATGCAACCGTTCTCATTCGTATATTTGCCCAACCTGTATATAACACCTACCTATTTTGTATTATACTCTTGAACGCTTCACTACAGAAGGAACATTACAACAAACTTGAAGAGATGACTTTATGTTGTGTGGCGTCTACTGTTTCCAGTCTCTACCAGAATGAGACAATAATGTCTTCAGTGAATTAGTTTACTGTATAATTAAAATATAATTAGCCCAGGTCACGTTCCTCATGCCTAAGTCTGTGAAACTTTTATAATGGGTTTGTTTGGTATTCTGGTAGCAGGGAATTAATGATACGTCTTCGGAGGCTTCTTACTTTATTGTTAAGTAGTGGTGGGTACACAGGCTTGTGTTGTGCCCATGGCCTGGGCAGGGCCATCCCACGAGAGAGAGCTGGGAGTACTTGTGTGTTTCTGCTAGGCCGCTGTGTGAGTGAGACGGAGGCATGGGCCGGCAGGCTGGCGTGCCTGCTGAGAGGCCTGGCTACAGAGGGCAGCACCTGAGTGGCGCGAAATATGAACTAAGCTGGCAGACAGCATGGGCTGTCTGTGCAGACAGTACAGGCTGTCTACATACGCTCGGCCACCTACCGCGCGTCGTCCCGACGCAACAATACTGGTGGTAAAAGAAACTCGGTCTCTCTCTCGTAGGAACAGGGCACAGAACACAAAATAAAAACATATATATACATATGAACATGGAAAAAAACTTCCTACAGGGAGGGAAGAAAAAAACATGTGGGTGTGCTAAACATCGTGGTCAAAGGCAGTGAGCGTCGAAGGGCATCACTGCACGCCTTCCTGCGTCTGGACAGATACTGCAACATGGGAGACATCGCTGCGGCTGAGCTGTAACATAACAGGTTACGGTCTCCTCTGGAACGGTGAAGCAGTCATCGTAGGAGTCGCTACAGGTTTCACTCAACCTGGGGCACAACATGCTGGTGCCCTCGAGTGAGGCGTCGACAAAACTCGGCAACTGGGCAGGACTTCTGGCAAGCGACTCAGGAGGACACTTCTCGATTGGTACTGTCGCTGGGCTGTCACTGCCGGCGAGCGTGGAGCGAGTTGTGGAGCGAGTCGTGGCAGAGACGACTGGGCGAAACATCTGGGACTCGTAACATCATACACCAGACTGCAGTGAGAGAGCTAGCAGTCAAAGTGACATCTTCTTTGTGCAGGCTGCTCACTGAAGCTTGTGACACGAGGCTGACACAGTGTGTCATTCTCTCGACAGTTGGAGTTATAGCAGAGGTTAGTCTAAGCGTCCCCAGACTTGTTTCTCTACATATAACTGCACTCTGACGGTCTGGAGGTGAAGTGAAACAAATCTCGATGGGAATCGTAGCAGGTACGATTCTGCAGAACATCACGAGCGACGAGCATAAAAGCTTTCTGTACAAGAGGGCTCATACGCTCAGGGCTGAGTAATCAGCTGTCAAACACACTGGTCACACGGGTGACTTAACACAATGGTGCTACTCAGGTCTGGGTCAGACCTCACTGGACACACGGAAACTTTACACACACCGCAGTACAACATGGCTTAAACTAGCAAATGATGCTTTTCTGTGCATAAAACTGACTAAGACATACTAAAATGTGAGAACACTGACTGAGAGGAATTAATTAACACACGACATATATTTTCTCTCAATCTTCTCGACAACACTAAAATAATTACTTGAAACACTCGATGTGACATCATGTGATGTCAGGCGTGATGACGTCAGCACATCTCGAGGTGACGTCTGCAGACATCTCGAGGTGACGTCAGCAGACATCTCGAGGTGACGTCAGCAGACATCTCGAGGTGATGTCAGCAGACATCTCGAGGTGACGTCAGCAGACATCTCGAGGTGACGTCAGGCAGACATCGTGAGGTGACGTCAGCAGACATCGTGACGTCATGAAGTCGGGCAGCATCGTGGGTGACGTCGATGTGATGCGGGCAGCAGACCACAGCATGTGGCCTTGGGACATCTGGTAACTCACGTAGCTCGTAGGTCTACGTGACATCGCCTACACCCACGTGGCGTCGTGATCCACGTGGTGTCGTGATCTACGTGGCATGCTGGTCCACGTAGCTTCGAGTGGCCTCGGGCACTCGGATACACAGCTCTGACAATGAATTCACATGGAAAAAAGCAGAAAACACAGCAGAGGGAGTGGGCAGTGGTGAGTGGTGTATGGTAGACGGGTGAGCGTGAGTAGGGCAAGCATGGGCAAGGTGAGGAACAGCCACTTCCTCTCCTCTCCTCCCCCACCCACAAACATGTGGAGAAGCTCACACTGGACGCAGAAATCACCACAAGACTCACCTCTGGCTTGCTGAAACAGCTGTGCTGAGCTGAACAACAACAACAGCAACATACAAGTGACGCTGAACACGTGACTTGAGAAACAGCGTGGGACACTGTAGCGTGGAGTCACTGTAGCGTGGGGTCACTGTGACGCCACTTACAATTCTCGGAGAATTTCGGCAAATTTCGGCCTGGATCCTGCTTGTACCTGTGTCTGGATGCTCAAACGTGCAGACACGACATCAGGATAACTCGTTGAGAGACGGATGCTTCTTGTGTAGGGTGATGAAGTGAAGATGACTTCATACCTCTTCCTCCCTCTCTCCAGGCAAACAACTGCTGCGAGCACCGCTGTCACCATTTATAATGGGTTTGTTTGGTAGGTGCTGTAAGCGAGTGGTTAATGATAGACGTCTTCTTCGGAGGCTTCTTACTTTATTGTTAATGTCGTGTTGGGTACACAGCTTGTGTTGTGCCCATGGCCCGGGCAGGGCCATCCCACGAGAGAGAACTGGGAGGCCTTGTGTCTTGCTGCTAGGCCGCTGTGTGAGTGAGACGGAGGCATGGGCCGGCAGGCTGGCGTGCCTGCCGAGAGGCCTGGCTACAGAGAGCAGCACCTGAGTGGCGCGAAATATGAACTAAGCTGGCAGACAGCATGGGCTGTCTGTGCAGACAGTACAGGCTGTCTTCACTTTGCCTTCTTCCCCCCACCCACTCCATTACCTCTTCTTCTAATTATACTACCCCGTTTCCATCTATGTCATGTTAGGTTGAAGGACACAAGTGCAATTATTGCGTCATTTTATTGTGACATTATCTGGACTTTCGTCTTTGAACCTGACATATTGTCGGTAATCCTCTCAACATTATTACACGTATGTCATGCTGACCTCAGCTCAGGGAGGTATCACCATGCTGCTGCATGTGTTACCTCTGTGCCTCGCCTTCCTCATGACTTAAACTCATATATAGATGAAGATAATGTCATGTAATGTTGATCGTAAAAGACATGAGTGCTCAGCCCAGCAGCTATAGCGTTCCCGCTGTCAATCATGTGATGCTACAGCACTTTGAGGCCACACGTCCACCTTTTCCATCTTTCTTAATAGACTCCAGTTCCTTGGATCTACAGCATTTTGACAGCTGTATAACTCACACGGATTTAACTCTTGTAATAATAATAATAATAATAATAGTAATAATAATAATAATAATAATAATAATAATAAATAATAATAATAATAATAACAACAACAACAGCAGCAACAACAACAACAATAATAATAATGTTGATATACTTGGTATCAGGAGTGGGATACGGTCAGATGATAGCAACATGGTCGGTGGTCACCTACTACTGCTCCATCATGGGTCTCACTGTCTTTTACTTCGTCATGTCCTTCAACAAGGTGCTTCCTTGGTCCGTTTGCGACTACAGCAGCTGGGCAGACGACAACTGCGTCGACGCCTCCAGCAATTTCACCTTCAACAATAAATCTCGCTCCTCATCTGAGCAGTACTTTTAGTAAGTTTTTAAACAAACCACAGTATGGGATGCATAATAAAGATATTAAACTTACTAACACTTGGCGGTCCTAGACAGGTATCCCATAAATCGTATTATAACCCCAGTCCACTGTACCCCAATGCCCACCAAAGGCTAGGTACAGGGTGTAGCATATACTTCTAAAGCAGCCAAATATAAGAAATCCCCCTGTATTGTATCTGAATACAATCCAAAGGAATAGTACAGAGTGCATAACAAGTTTCTAGTAAGTAAATAAGTAAGTTTATTCAGGTATACACAAATACAGTTACATAGATTATCATACATAGCAGCATACCAACCTCTTATTTAATGACTTAAATGAATCAAACAGTTACTGTAATTACTACACAGCAGAACAATCAAAGGCACTTCTCAGAGCCAAAAACAACATAACTATCTTTAACTACAATATCAGATCTTTAAGCAAACATTACGATGATATCATACGATTACTAAATTCCTTGCATGCCAATATGTCCAGCATTACACTAACTGAAACCTGGCTAAAGCCTGATACTACAGATGTCTATGCCATTCCTGGTTACACAGCCATACACAACTGTAGGCCAGACCAACAAGGGGGTGGCACAGCCATATACTACTCAGATCAACTAGAATGTATCACTACTACTTGCACAAGGGATGAACATGGGGAATATATAATAGCTAAATTCAAATCCAAATACCTACAAAAACCTCTCACATTGATAAACATCTACAGAGTACCACAGTCAAACATTAGCCAATTTAGTCAAAACCTAGGAAGTATGATAACTGATGCACGCATGAACAAAGATCACTTACTACTCTCAGGTGACTTCAGTATAAATCTCCTGCAAGACCAGGACCCACATGTTACTGAATTCACAAACACTATGAGTAACTGTATGTTGCTACCAACAGTAACAAAACCTACAAGAGTTACAGAGACTAGTGTTTCCCTACTTGACCACATCTGGACCAACACCATATCCCCTTTAAAATCAGGCATAATTACAGATAATACCACAGACCACTACCCTACTTTCCTCATAACAACTCTTGGTAAAATACCCCAAGACACTACTAAAGTCACCTTCAGACTTCACAATGAGGCAGCCATTAATAACTTTACAACAGCAGTAACAAACATTGATTGGCACACTGAGCTAGAAATCTATACAGATATTGACGAATGTATTAATAATTTTCTAAAAAAGACCCAATACCTCTATAACAAGCACTGCCCTAAAAAAACTAAACAGATGACAGCTAAGAGACTGAACAGTCCCTGGCTAACACCCAGCATTCTCAAATCCATAAATACAAAACACCAATATGAAAAACAGTACAGAATGGGTCACATAACCAGAGACCAAACAAAACGTTACTCGTCAATCCTAACCAGCCTGATAAGAAGGGCCAAAAAATTGTATTATGAGAACAGATTATCCAACTTACGAGGTGATATAAAAAAGACCTGGAAAACCCTATCAGAAATTCTGGGAACAAAAAAGATATCACGAAATAGCGAAATAAAATTAGCAAAATCAGATGAACCCCAACTCCACCAACAGAAACAGCAAACAGACTCAATGATTTCTTCTCCACTATAGGACAAAACCTTGCCAATAAAATCCCAAGCTCAGATACCCCACCAAATGACTACCTCACTGGCAACTACCCGAACACACTGTTCCTAGCTCCGAATAACCCATACGAAGTCTCCCTTATTATCAACGCACTAAAAAACAAGGCAGGAGATTTAAATACCTTACCACCCTTTATATACAAAAAAGTGTCACAAGTGCTATCACCAATCATTGCAACACTCTTTAACAAATCCATTGAATCCTCCACCTTCCCTACAGTTCTCAAAATAGCAAGGGTCACCCTGATCCATAAAGGAGGAGACCAAACAGAGTTGAATAACTATAGGCCAATATCCAACTTACACCCTCTCTCAAAAATCTTCGAAAAATTAATTCATAAACGAATCTACTCCTACCTCATCTCCCAAAACATACTCAACCCCTGCCAATTTGGATTCAGGCCTAATAAAAATACTAATGATGGTATTATACACATGCTAGAACATATATACACTGCAATAGAGAAAAAAGAAGTCCCACTGGGGATCTTCATTGACTTACGTAAAGCTTTTGATACAGGTGACCATGACTTGCTCCACATTAAATTGTCACACTATGGTATAAGAGGGCACTCCCTCAACTACCTCAAGTCATACCTCAGCAACAGAAGCCAATATGTATACGCAAATGGGGCAAACTCTTCCGCACAACCAATTACAGTTGGTGTCCCACAGGGAAGTGTCCTTGGCCCTCTTCTCTTTCTCCTATACATAAATGACCTACCAAATGCTTCGCAATTACTCAAACCCACACTATTTGCAGATGACACTACATACGTCTTCTCTCACCCGAGCCCAGTCACGCTAGCCAATACTGTAAATACCGAATTACAGAAAATATCTACCTGGATGAGGACTAACAAACTTACACTAAACATTGACAAAACCTACTTCATTCAGTTTGGTAACAGAGCTACAGATGTCCCTCTTAACATAATGATAAAGGGATCACCTATCACAAAGCTAACAGAGGGAAAATTCTTAGGAATCCACCTTGATAATAGACTCAAATTTCATACACATATACAACAAATTTCTAAGAAAATTTCCAAGACTCTAGGCATACTATTGAAGATACGGTACTATGTTCCACAGTCAGCCCTCCTGGCCCTATATCACTCTCTTATTTACCCCTATCTCACCTATGGAATTTGTGCATGGGGCTCAAAAACAATTAACCATCTCAGACCCATTAATTACCCAACAAAAGGCTGCAGTCAGAATGATAACAAATTCCCACTACAGGCAGCACACTCCACCAATATTCAAAACACTAAACCTACTCACCATACAAAACATCCATACTTATTACTGCACCTATTACATACATAGAACACTTAACTCTGATATTAACCCTCCCCTCAAACATCTCCTTGCCAACCTCAACAGAACACATGACCATAACACAAGGCACAGATCACTCTTTGATGTTCCTCGTGTCCATCTCACGCTATGCAAAAACTCAATGCACATAAAAGGCCCTAAAATCTGGAATTCATTACCTGTAAATATAAAAGAAACACTACCTGTTCATAAATTCAAGTCTCTTCTCAAAGATCACTTACTCACCCAAAACCAAATAAATAATGAATAACTGAACCTTATAAATTGTGTATCTTAAATGTTTCTCACAATTATATCACATAAATGTTAAACCTAAGACCCAATCTAACTTTGTTATTTTTTAAATACACTACCTAACAGAATACTCCATTCTACTGATTGTACAGCAATGCATGCAACCATATGACCTGTCTTTGTAATACTCATTTGTGCTTTATTGTTATCTGTTTACAATAATGTTTTATCACTGATTACATCATTGCTTTGTTAATCTTAAGTTAATTTTAAGCCAGCCCGTAATGCTATGCATATAAGTGGCTTTGGCATGCTGCTCTTACCTGTACTTTTTTTGTACCTCTGTATGTATGCTCAAATTACTAAATAAATAAATAAAATAAATAAATAAATAAATATGCGTAAAGTACCTAGGATAACCAAAAAAAAGTCAGACAGAGTGACTCATTAGATATCAGAAGTGAAGATTTGAATCCAATCAGAAGGCTAATTTAAAAGTTATTGCATGGAAACTAATCCGAATCTTGCCCTAAGTAAAAAGCATTATCTAGCTATTGCACAGAAAATAATATCCCAATTTGTTTAATAAAGTGGTAAATTACGGTCTATGAAGCCCCATAACAATACGAACTTTGGATGAATCTTATTGTAATCAGTTGATCCAGTAGTAATTATACTGTGTTAGTTCACCCAACTTGGTATATTTCTATACACCATAGGAAGGTTATCATGAAGTCTAATGTAACCACAAATGCAGGTGACCTTCCTGTGTCCATTCCCTTGTAAACTTTTGACTACATTACCTCTATGTCTTGTTGAAAATGGTATAAAATGCCGACAAGTTGAAGATTAAGACACATGTGCAACAGTTAGGTATCTATTAATGAAACGTTTCGCCTACACAGTAGGCTTCTTCAGTCAAATACAGAGGAAGCAGGTGTAGTAATGAAATACAGATGATGTAATCAGTCCATCAACCTTGGAGAAAAAAGATCTGAGGTGGTCAGTCCCTCAGCCTGGAGAAGAGTTCACTCCATGGTCTGGAACGATATCATTCCAGACCATGGAGCTGAACTCTTCTCCAGGCTGAGGGACTGAACACCTCAAATTCTTTTTCTCCAAGGTTGATGGACTGATTACATTATCTTTATTTCACTACTACACCTGCTTCCTCTGTATTTGACTGAAGAAACCTACTGTGTAGGGGAAACGTTTCATCAGTAAAGAAACCCAACTGTTGCACATGTGTCTTAATTTGTGTCTTGCTCTATGGCGCTCATGTCCTCACATGTCAAGCCTTCTCATGTCGTGGGGGTTCGTCAGGAGATAATAGGAGTAAGAAATACACAAGTTGATTGTCCTGGAAGCGTATAATTAAGAGTCTTGAGAGGAGCCCAGGCCTGCCTCTGGAAACAAGAGCGAGATGCCGATAGAATGAAGTAAAAGATATAGTATACAGATGGAGCTTTTATTGTAGCAACGTTTGGTTCTGTATTAAGCTTTATATAGTCTAATTAGAAAAAATACACGACTAAACGATGTCACAACAAAAACATGTTCTGCACCTGTCTTACTCAATCTCCTTCACACTTTCCCACTCCCTAGCACTCTCCCTTACCCCCTAGTAACTACTCTCTAAGACTCCCTTACCTCTAGTAACTACTCCCTAACACTCTCCCTTATCCCCAGTAACTACTCTCTCATCCCCAGTAACTACGTGTTGAAGATGGCAGACAACATTGATGACGGTATCGGTGTCCCTGACTGGCGACTGAGCCTGTGTCTCCTCTTCTCCTGGGCAGTGTTGTTCTTCACGTTGGCCAAGGGAGTCCAGTCCTCAGGAAAGGTACGTCTGTCATTGATTAACATGAGTTGGTGTTTTCTTATTTTCCAGTTCATTTCCTTGTATTCTTTGGCCTTTTGTTTGTCTCGTCTTATTTGCTTCGTACCTGGAGAGGGTAAGCCAGCAGCACTGTGAGTGCTGGTGAGGCCTAAGTTCATTAATATTCATCAGTCAACACGTTTGGTCACTGACTACACACGCCACAGTGCTCATCACCGGATAGCATTACACATCTCCGCTTCATTATCACACAAACGTCCTCCATCTTTCACTGTACCCTTATTATCGCTCACTTGATGTCATTGTCACAGCCCTTCACTGCACTGCTGGACACTATTCTACACGTATCAAACACCCTTCGTCTGCTCCATCCTTGGACTTAACTCGGTTTCTGACTGATTTCCTCATTGGCTGACCAATCTCGGCGTTTTCTTCGGTCTTAAATAATGTGTTCCCTATGAAAACATTCATATCCTGATTGATAACTCTGCCGCAAGGTTGGCGGCAGCCGTCTCTCGGCAGCCAGGGTTGGCTGGTTGGTTGATAGATTTAGAAGACATCAACTTCACAAGGGTAACGTTCACGTGTGACCTTTAACCAACAGGCTATGATATTATAACCGCTTCCTTAAGTAGGTATTAGGTATGTCAGGAAACAGGGCAAGTGTTCCTTGACGCGGGTCTTAGTCATATGATGACCCCAATGGCAATAAGTCACTCTGTCTGACTTTTTTGGCCCGGTGGCCTGGTGGCTGGTGGCCCGGTGGCCTGGTGGCTGGTGGCCCGGTGGCCTGGTGGCTGGTGGCCCGGTGGCCTGGTGGCTGGTGGCCCGGTGGCCTGGTGGCTGGTGGCCTGGTGGCTAAAGCTCCCGCTTCACACACGGAGGGCCCGGGTTCGATTCCCGGCGGGTGGAAACATTTCGACACGTTTCCTTACACCTATTGTCCTGTTCACCTAGCGGCAAATAGGTACCTGGGTGTTAGTTGACTGGTGTGGGTCGCATCCTGGGGGATAAGATTGAGGACTCCAATGGAAATAAGTTAGACAGTCCTCGATGACGCACTGATTTTCTTAGGTTACCTGGAGTTTACCTGGAGAGAGTTCCGGGGGTCAACGCCCCAGCGGCCCGGTCTGTGACCAGGCCTCCTGGTGGATCAGAGCCTGATCAACCAGGCTGTTGCTGCTGGCTGCACGCAAACCAACGTACGAGCCACAGCCCGGCTGGTCAGGAACCGACTTTAAGTGCTTGTCCAATGCCAGCTTGAAGACTGCCAGGGGTCTGTTGGTAATCCCCCTTATGTATGCTGGGAGGCAGATGAACAGTCTCGGCCCTGACACTTATTGTATGGTCTCTTAACGTGCTAGTGACACCCCTGCTTTCATTGGGGGGATGTTGCATCGTTTGCCAAGTCTTTTGCTTTCGTAGTGAGTGATTTTCGTGTGCAAGTTCGGTACTAGTCCCTCTAGGATTTTCCAGGTGTATATAATCATGTATCTCTCCCGCCTGCGTTCCAGGGAATACAGGTTTAGGAACCTCAAGCGCTCCCAGTAATTGAGGTGTTTTATCTCCGTTATGCGCGCCGTGAAGGTTCTCTGTACATTTTCTAGGTCAGCAATTTCACCTGCCTTGAAAGGTGCTGTTAGTGTGCAGCAATATTCCAGCCTAGATAGAACAAGTGACCTGAAGAGTGTCATCATGGGCTTGGCCTCCCTAGTTATGAAGGTTCTCATTATCCATCCTGTCATTTTTCTAGCAGATGCGATTGATATAATGTTATGGTCCTTGAAGGTGAGATCCTCCGACATGATCACTCCCAGGTCTTTGACGTTGGTGTTTCGCTCTATTTTGTGGCCAGAATTTGTTTTGTACTCTGAAGAAGATTTAATTTCCTCGTGTTTACCATATCTGAGTAATTGAAATTTCTCATTGTTGAACTTCATATTGTTTTATGCAGCCCACTGAAAGATTTGGTTGATGTCCGCATGGAGCCTTGCAGTGTCTGCAATGGAAGACACTGTCATGCAGATTCGGGTGTCATCTGCAAAGGAAGACACGGCTATGGCTGACATTCTTGTCTATGTCGGATATGAGGATGAGGAACAAGATGGGAGCGAGTACTGTGCCTTGTGGAACAGAGCTTTTCACCGTAGCTGCCTCGGACTTTACTCTGTTGACGACTACTCTCTGTGTTCTGTTAGTGAGGAAATTATAGATCCATCGACCGAATTTTCCTGTTATTCCTTTAGCACGCATTTTGTGCGCTATTACGCCATGGTCACACTTGTCGAAGGCTTTGGCAAAGTCTGTATATATTACATCTGCATTCTTTTTGTCTTCTAGTGCATCTAGGACCTTGTCGTAGTGATCCAATAGTTGAGACAGACAGGAGCGACCTGTTCTAAACCCATGTTGCCCTGGGTTGTGTAACTGATGGGTTTCTAGATGGGTGGTGATCTTGCTTCTTAGGACCCTTTCAAAGATTTTTATGATATGCGATGTTAGTGCTATCGGTCTGTAGTTCTTTGCTGTTGTTTTACTGCCCCCTTTGTGGAGTGGGGCTATGTTTGTTGTTTTTAGCAACTGTGGGACGACCCCCGTGTCCATGCTCCCTCTCCATAGGATGGAAAAGGCTTCTTGCAGTTCTTGATGAACACGGAGTTCCATGAGTCTGGCCCTGGGGCAGAGTGCATGGGCATGTCATTTATCGCCTGTTCGAAGTCATTTGGCATCAGGATAACATCGGATAGGCTTGTGTTAACCAAATTCTGTGGCTCTCTGATAAAAAATTCATTTTGATCTTCGACTCTCAGTCTGGTTAGCGGCTTGCTAAAAACTGAGTCATATTGGGACTTGAGTAGCTCACTCATTTCCTTGCTGTCATCTGTGTAGGACCCATCTTGTTTAAGTAGGGGCCCAATACTGGACGTTGTTCTCGACTTTGATTTGGCATAGGAGAAGAAATACTTTGGGTTTCTTTCGATTTCATTTATGGCTTTTACTTCTTCCCGCGATTCCTGACTCCTATAAGATTCCTTTAGCTTAAGTTCAATGCTTGCTATTTCTCTGACCAGTGTCTCCCTACGCATTTCAGATATATTGACCTCTTTTAGCCGCTCTGTTATTCTTTTCCGTCGCCTGTAAAGGGAGCGCCTGTCTCTTTCTATTTTACATCTACTCCTCCTTTTTCTTAGAGGAATAAGCCTTGTGCATACATCGAGTGCCACCAAGTTAATCTGTTCTAGGCATAAGTTGGGGTCTGTGTTGCTTAGTATATCTTCCCAGCTTATATCGGTTAGGACTTGGTTTACTTGGTCCCACTTTATGTTTTTGTTATTGAAGTTGAATTTGGTGAATGCTCCCTCGTGACTAATCTCATTATGTCGGTCTGGGGCTCCATGCATACATGTCTGAACCTCAATTATGTTGTGATCTGAGTATATTGTTTTTGATATTGTGACATTTCTTATCAGATCATCATTGTTAGTGAAGATGAGGTCTAGTGTATTCTCCAGTCTAGTAGGCTCTATTATTTGATGGTTTAAATTGAATTTTGTGCAGAGATTTAAAAGCTCGTGTGAGTGTGAGTTTTCATCAGAGCTGCCTCCTGGTGTTATTACTGCAACAGTATTATTTGCTATATTCCTCCATTTTAGGTGCCTTAAGTTGAAATCCCCCAGGAGCAAGATGTTGGGTGCAGGAGCTGGAAAATTTTCCAGACAGTGGTCAATTTTTAACAGCTGTTCCTGGAATTGCTGGGATGTTGCATCCGGAGGCTTGTAGACTACCACAATGACTAGGTTTTGGTTCTCGACCTTTACTGCTAAATCTTCCACTACATCATTTGAGGCATTAAGCAGTTCTGTTCAAACAAGTGACTGCAATGTACAGGCCAACCCCCCCCCCTTTTGCCTGTTCACTCTGTCACATCTGTATAGGTTGTAACCTGGGATCCATATTTCGTTGTCCAAGTGATCCTTTATGTGGGTCTCAGTGAAAGCCGTGAAAATTGCCTTTGCCTTTGCATGCAGTCCACAGATGAAAGGTATTTTGTTGTTTGTTGCTGGCTTTAGACCCTGTATATTTGCAAAGAAGAATGTCATCGGACTGGTGGTATTGTTGGTACTGGGGGGAGATTTTTTTCCGGCATTAGTATCTGTATCTGTTGGTTTTTGAGTGGAGGCCATCGACTGTGGTTCCACTCCAGGAATGACTGGATTTGGTGCACGATTTCTGCCATTTCCTGCCAGTTTTTTTCCTTCCTGGCACTGAAAAACCTCTCCCTCTTGAGTGGCTGTGGCTACCCAGGTTTTCCCATGGCCTGGATGTTTTGTATCTTTTTGTCCCCTTTAGATGGTGTGCCTGGCAATTTAAGTTATAGCACAGTCTTTCCTGTACTGAAGAGGTACACATTTCAGGGTGAAAAAGCTTACAGGAAGGGAGTTTGCATTTTCCTGTTGTCATATGGGCACGGCATTTTCTAGGGTGGTCATAGTTGCACGTCCCGTCTGTTTTTCCAGATTTCCCATGTCTGCAGATACCAAGTGCATAGTATGTGCACAGGCTTGGTTTCCGTTTGCCTTGGGTTTCTGTGACTGTATTCCCTGTTGGTGCATGTTTCCCTGTCTTATTCCTATCCTCCCTAGCACCAACAATGGAGCTCCCACCAGTTGTTTTTGGTAATATATCCTCACTATTGCTAGTGGAGTCCTCTTGTTTGCTATTTCCTGTGGTATTTCTAGTTTTATCTTATCTTTGACTACACTTGTTTCCCCACTACTGCTCCTGTCCCCTATGAGGTCATTTATATGTATTCCTTCCTGTGTATAATTCCCGACTCCCTGGACAAAATCTCCAGCTTCACCATTATTTGCCCTCCCAGGACAGCATCTCCAGCTTCACCATTACTGTCTCCCAGGACAGCATCTCCGCTTCCCCAAATTACTGTCTCCCAGGACAGCACCCCCAGCTTCACCATTTCTGTCTCCCAGGACAGCACCTCCAGCTTCACCAATTACTGTCTCCCAGGACAGCACCTCCAGCTTCACCATTACTGTCTCCCAGGACAGCACCTCCAGCTTCACCATTACTGTCTCCCAGGACAGCACCTCCAGCTTCACCATTACTGTCTCCCAGGACAGCACTATCAGCCCACATTTACTGACTACCAGGACATCACCTCCAGCCTTACAGTTTCTGACTACATGGCCAGTATCAAGGGCAGTACCATTCAGCCCAGACTTTTTATGCCCCATTGTTGTAGAAAGCTTCCAGGTTTTCTATGAAAGCAGCTTTGATGTTATCTCCTTTTAATACCCTTGTGATTTTAGTCCACAGTTTTAAATTCATTGGGAAATACCCAAAAACACTTCCCTTTTTTAAATACTGTTTGTAGCTAGTTCTTGGATATCTGCATAAGGGATATGGGTGGCTAACCCTCCGGGGTTAAAAATCCGATCGAAATCTTATCTTATCTTATCCTAGGTCTCTGGGACATATGCTAAACATTACAAAAGCTAAGACAATCAGCCAACTCGCGCATTTTGGAGTATAATTGCTTATATAATTATTTTAAAAATCTTGCTTTTCTTGTCCCACCCTTTCATCCATATCACATCATTGTGATGTACTATATTTTATTATATTATTTGTTAGATTTTATTTAATTCAGGTGGCGTACTTCACGGCATTGTTTCCCTACGTGGTGTCTTCACGCTGGGGGGCGGGGGAGTGACCCTCCCGGGGGCCGAGGATGGTATCCTCTACTTCATTATTCCTCAATGGGAAAAACTTCTCGACCCGAACGTGAGTACCTGTCTTCAATATTCTTTTTATATATTCAAAAGAAGGCATGAGAGTCGAAGATCAAAATGAATTTTCTATGAGAGAGCCACAGAATTTATCCTGATGTTATCCTGACGCCAAATGACTTCGAACAGGCGATAAATGACATGCCCATGCACTCTACCCCAGGCCCAGACTCGTGAAACTCCGTGTTCATCAAGAACTGCAAGAAGCCCCTATCACGAGCTTTTACCATCCTATGGAGAGGGAGCATGGACACGGGGGTCGTCCCACAGTTACTAAAAACAACAGACATAGCCCCACTCCACAAAGGGGGCAGTAAAGCAATAGCAAAGAACTACAGACCGATAGCACTAACATCCCATATCATAAAAATCTTTGAAAGGGTCCTAAGAAGCAAGATCGCCACCCACTAGATACCCATCAGTTATTCAACCCAGGGCAACATGGGTTCAGAGCAGGTCGCTCCTGTCTTGACCCTGTGCACTGTGATGTGTACGTTAGGCTCATATTGGAGTATGCAACACCATTTTGGGAAACCCCCAAAACCTAGCCAAGCATGTAAGGAACTAGAGAAAGGCAAAGATTTGCAACAAGACTAGTTCCGGAGTTAAGGGTTATGTCCTACTAGGAGAGGTTAAAGAAAATCTTCCTGACGACACTGGAAGAAAGGAAAAGATAGGGGGGGGGATTAATAGCAACATATAAAATACTGAGAGGAATCGACAATGTAGCAGGACAGGATGTTCCAGAGATGGGACACAGCAACAAGGGTCACAGTTGGAAGTTGAAGACTCAGATGAATAACAGGGATGTTAAGAAGAAATTTCTTCAATCACAGAGTTGTCAGGAAGTGGAATAGTCTGCGAAGTGATGTAGTGGAGGCAGGATCCATACATAGCTTTAAAAAGAGGTATGATGAAACTCATGGAGGGGGGAAGAGTGACCTAGTAGTGGCCAGTTAAGAGGCGGGACCAGGAGCTGTGACTCGCCCCCTCCAACCCAACTAGGTGAGTACAGTCCACAACTTTAATTTACGAGTGGGTTTGTTTTAATATTGTAATTTTTTTTCATATTAGGTCTAGTTTTTTGTGTGAGTGGTGAGGAGTTGGGCATGGAGGGAGTAACAGTTCAGTGACTACTGTGTGTGACTTTAGCCCAAACTTATCTCACCCAAATTACTTCCCCGTAATAATTCACACAGGTAATTTGCTCACACAGTAATAATTCAAAGTAGTTTAGTAACTTGATTATGCAAAACATCCCCCATCTTGTGGGCGGTAGTTAAATAATTCAACATAGGCCACATGATGGGTCCAGGGATTGGGCCGCAAAGTCTGGATAGCGGGAGACAATGCAGGTAATTTACACTGTTAATAGGTATGGTAATTGTACCTATGTGTACCTGTACCTAAATAAACTTACTTGTTTAAATTTAAATTTATCATTATTACAGTCGTAACTAAGCGCTAAGCGCACAAGGGTTATTATTAAAAACCACCTATGGGTGAAAAAGTCACACCAATTTCATTGCATTGTCTTCTTACCCAACTTATTTTTCTTCAGTATCTTGTGATAAATCTTCCATTTCAACTTCTTTAGGGGTCAAGATTACGATGGAAACAAAAATTTTGAAAGTTTATTTCGAGGGCCTCTTGTTGATATTTATTAATGATGTTGTGGGTGTTGCCTCCGCGTCACTGTTGCATAATTATAATTGCAGTTGCTGTTATTTTTATGTGGTTTCCGAGGTTTGTGGGTCATTGGTAGCGCCTTTGACTCGTACATGAAGTACCCGGGTTCAGTCCTGGGGCAGGTCGAGACGTGGGTGTGTTTCCTTATACCTGTGGTACTAAGGTACTAGGTACCGCATATAAGTTGACTGTTGTGGATCGCATTTTTTTTTTTTATTTTTTTAAAGCCAATTTCAGTATACATAAAAATAAAAAAAAAAGGAAACAGTTTTGGATCTCAATCCTGAAGGTTCGGCCATTGGCATAAGAAACCCAAACACAAAATAAATAACACAAATGGATTTTCACCTTATTTCTCCCAAGATAATCTGTATAACATACAACAATAGCTTACGGCAAGAACATAACTACAAATAAACACAGTAACAGGGTCATGAACTGACATATATAAACATTCAATGACTCAAAACATAACTTACATATAAATTTTACATATAACATGACATATGGGCAAAGGCTCATTACAATTGAAAAGAATATATACGAGAAAATGTAACAATTACTTCCAGCCTTCTCATTAATCAATAAACCAAAACCTAACATCATAATCCTACTAGAACATCTATATACTTATCCCTAACATTACAGCTTTACATATACCAAAATACAAATAAACATACAAAGAAAACGCTTAGATCTCAAAAACCGACTATTACAGTTACAATAAACCCGTATACAAAAATCTCAGACACAAAAGGAATGCGTCTATAAACTGGCTAGATATTTTTGTTTACCATACAGCCCAAAAATTACGTTAAGAACATAGCCATGAAAAACCATATCAGGGTGCTGACAGTCTATAAGTACATCTTAACATACAAAAACCTAGAACATAACATGAACTAAAAAACACTTCATATGGCAAAGAACAATACCGTTGTATAATGCTATACAAAGTACATTGAAATGACAATTGAAACAAAGTAACGAAAAGGGAACATACAACAAGCATGTCATCGACACCATGCCCAGCCCTTCTAGGGTAGGGTGGTGCCTGAGCCCGAGCCTTTAGCTCATAAGACTGTCATTCCCATTAGCCCCCTTGAGGCGGGGATGGCAGACCAGAGAGGCCTAGCTTGTGGCTAGGCCTGGGGACAGTTGGTCCCAAAGATGAGGAGGTACTTGTGCCTCCTCCCATGGAAGACTTAGGTCTCAGACACTCCCTAAAGAGGGAGCCAAGGCCGGGCCACCACTTGGAAAAGGCCCGGGCCGGGAGAATACCGGCTAATCTTTAATAATAATAAATAATAATAACAACAAGCATGTGTTGAATACATATAAACCTACACATCACATATATCACAGTACAATCTTTGTATAAGACCTTTGAGGACAAAAGGAGAATCCAGACATACTTAGATCATGCCTTGTGTCACCTCAAACCATCAAACACACAAATACTGTGAGATGTACCCTCTCACACATTATACACACAATAATGTCGTGCAACAACACTACTTACATATATTCAATACCTTCTTAAAAACAATGTGAAAAACATATCTTGCACAACTACCCAGACCAAACTCACATCACAACAGAAGCTTATTTATTATATTACCAAACATACCACACACGCTAACATCTATACACATTGCCATACTCAAGAAAACTAGCCCGCCGCAACCCCTTACTTTACACTTAAATCCTTCAACCTAAATCTATGATAACCTTCAGTAAATGCTGTCTCCCATCTTCCCCCATAAAGATCCCTATTGCGGCACTTTGTTCTATACATCGTGGCCCTAACACTCTTATCTTTCCTCGACTCCCACCTCCCTCATTGCCCAAGATATATAAATAAAATCAGTAACCACATACGCAACCGCATTCACCATCTGCTGACTCCCCCCACCTATATCTAAACTTAACACCCGCAACACCTGTAATCCTTCCCCACCCACTAACCTAACTACCCTACTTAGCCAGACCCTCACATCTTCTAAACAAGTACAAAAGTACACAGCGTGAAATATAGTTTCCGGACATCCACACGCTTTGCACTCCCCACCCTCCCTTAATCTCCTATTTTTTTTTTATATATATTTTTATTTAAGGACACAGTATACAATCTATATGTTGTTATACATAAAACTTAACAAAAAAAACCTCAACACTGAGAAAAAACAAGCCTAACTAGGAATGAAACAGAAGATAAGATAAGATAAGATTTTGTTCGGATTTTTAACCCCGGAGGGTTTAGCCCCCCGGAAAACCCAAAAAAAGTCATTTTCTCATGGGGGTGTCTAACTTTTCCTTGGGGTCCTTAATCTTGTCCCCCAGGATGCGACCCACACCAGTCGACTAACACCCAGGTACCTATTTGCTGCTAGGTGAACAGGACAACAGGTGTAAGGAAACGTGTCGAAATGTTTCCACCCGCCGGGAATCGTACCCGGGCCCCCCTGTGTGAAGGGGGGAGCTTTAGCCACCGGGCCAGGGGCCCCCCCCTGGTTTCCAAACAAAAAAAGTACATAACAAAACCTGTTACACTTATGCATTTTTGTACAAAACTTTTATACAAAACTTTAAGTATACACCAAAACATTTTCTACAATTTTTTTGTATGAAAACATATTATGTACATAATTCTCGAAAACTAAAACCTCCTGACAATTTTTCGGGGGGAATAAACGTACTCCCCCACCCCATATAACCCAAATCACATCATATTAAATTTTGCATATCTAGAAAAAATAAAAAATAAAAAAAAATTTCTAAGAGTGTCCTCCCCCATCCCCCACCAGGTAAAGATGACCGGTGAAAAAACCCCTTAACCCGGGTTTTTATATACTTTCCACCTCATTAATTTCCCCAACAGGAAGGAATATGAATAGGGCAATGTACATGCCCACTTCGACACAGAAATCTAACATTGAAAAAATTTAAAATATACAGGAAATACATGACCCTGATGCACGCGGGCACCTCCCCCCTACTACATTTGTTAAATAGGTAGGAACCCTAACAATAGTCTCTGGGGCAACAAAAAAAACCCCCCGCATCTTTTACAACACAAATAATTTCTTCCTCATTTTTTCCAAAAAAAATTTTATTTGGTCCGTCTTTAAAAGTATGAAAGGACGCCTTGGCAAACCCACGAACAAGAAAACTTACCAAAAACCTCCACCTCTCTACGAAGCCCCATTTCAATAACCAACACCCCACCCCCACCACAGACATGACACAGACACCACCACACAACACACACCACCCCAAACAACCCAACACTAAAACCACACAAAC